GCCCAGGATGGAGTGCACTGGCATGATCTTGGCTCATTGCAACCTTTGCCTCCTGGGTTCAAGCAGTTCTTGTGCCTCAGCCTCCCCAGTAGCTAGGATTATGGGCACCTGCCACCATACCTGGCTAATTTTTGGATTTTTAGTAGAGATGGGGTTTCACCATGTTGGGCAGGCTGGCCTCTAACTCCTGACCTCAGGCAATTGCCTGCCTCGACCTCCCAAAGTACTGGGATTGCAGAGGTGAGCCACCACACCTAGTACTGTACATACTTACACACAATTTTTTTGCTAATTTAACATCTCAGAATCCTCTTTTCAGAGGCTACAAAAAACAAAATAGTTTTGCAACCAACCTTTAAAGTTATCGAATAACCAAAAGTGATAATATAAACAAACAAGAATTTGAACTCACCTATGTTCAACATTCACTGTTTAAGTCAACATTATGAAAGGGTAAAAGTAAACAACAGAAACTTGCTCCCTAATGTAGGAAGAAATCTCTTGGCCAGTGAAGCAATACTAAAACACAGACATTCTGCTTACATTAACTGATTAAAAAGAAAAGGAAAACAAAACAAAACACAGACCTGTTTACCCATATAAAGTTATAATGATGAACATCTGTAAAGATCCCATGAAACCACCCATGTAAAGTGCTCAGCACATGTGCCTGGTCCACAAGTGTTTAATGTTAGCCTGTATACTTACTCATTTCATTCAATACAAGGCTACTTAATTGCTCTGCACCTCTGCTGCCTCATACAAAACACAGACGACAGTAGTTCCTAAAACATAGGATTATTAGGACTGAGAATGTTTTCAAGGCACTTAGAGCAACATTAATTGTCAATATTATTCTTAGTGTCCTCGAAAAGGAAGGTCAGAGGTTTACAGGGCTGGGATCTAAACCTAGTCACTCCAAAGCACTAGCATCTCATTTCCTCAGACTCTGGGAGATTTACCTGGTTGCCAGCTCTCCTCCCACAGCTCAGGAAATTCCCAGGGCAGAAGGAACTCGGTCCCTCTTGGAGGCTCAGCCTGCTCCAGAACTTGCAGCTCTAGGGTCCTCAGCCCCATCACCCAAACCTCACACCTCTCCAAAAAGCTATAGGCAGGGCGCTGTGGCTCACATCTGCAATCCCAGCACTTTGGGAGCCTGAGGCAGGCGGATCACTTGCAGTCAGGAATTTAAGACCAGGCTGGCCAACATGGTGAAACCCTGTCTCTACTAAAAATACAAACAAATTAGCCAGGTTTGGTGGCGCACACCAGCTACTCAGAAGGCTGAGACAGGAGAATCATTTGAACCCAGGAGGCTGAGGTTGCAGTGAGCCAGGATCCCTCCACCGCATTCCAGCGCGAGGCTGTCTCAAAACAAGAACAAAAAAAACTATTGCTCTTTGAATTTGTTTGCCAACTACTGGTTTGTCTTTTCAAAGGGGGCTTAAGGGAAGTTTTATAACCATGTAAAACAAATAATAATGCAGCAGCAACAGCAGCAGACTCTCTCATGTACACAGCACTCCCTTCCAAGTGCTGTCACAGATTCTGTGACACCGGCACAAACTCTCCCAGCCTATAAGGTCGTTACTGTTATTATTGTTTTTCTCCTCTGTAGCAGTTGGGACACTTGGACTCTAGGAAATAAATTGCCCAAGGTCATAGCTCCTTAGTGGTGAGGACGGGGTCCACACCCAGGTATAATTTCTTTCTTTCTTTCTCTCTTCCTTTTTTTTTTGAGTCAGCGTCTTGCTCTATTGCCCAGGCTGGATGGAGTATAGTGGCATGATCACAGCACAATGCAGCCTCAACCTCTTGGGCTCAAGCCATCTTACTGCCTTAGCTTCCCGAGTAGCTGGAACTACAGATGCATACCAGGCAGGCTAATATTTGTATTTTTTGTAGAAACTGGATTTTGCTCAGGCTGGTCTTGAACTCCTGACTTTACGCAGTCCTCCCACCTCAGCCTCCCAAGTGCTAGGATCACAGACATGAGCCACTGCAACAGCCCCAGGTAATTTCAAAGCCAGTATTCTTAACTATCTCACCAAATCGAATGTGGAAAAGAGAAAAAGGGAATAGTACTTCTAAAAAACAGTAACTATAGAAAACCCAATCAAAATTCATTTCCCAATTAAGTTATTGCTTAGTAAATGAAAATATTAAATAAAGAACCGGCTACTGCTCCACATGGCAAGGAAGTGTATGTACTTCAGTGCTGACAACTCCATTACTCAGGAGAACAGTTTAACTGTGACATGTGGGTGGCTCCAGTGACCACTGCCACTATATTTATAGTTTGTGATTTATATAAACAAAATCATTTCTCATGCCTATAGCAGCATCTACTGCAGGCCTTTGTTACTTACAATTAAATCTCTGTAAATATTTAAATCTCATGGTCACAAAAAAATGAGTCAACCATCTAAGAATGACTGGTCACCAGTTCCCAAAACACAATTTCCAGCGTCATGACCACCAGCCCCATTAGGTCTAACTTCCAGATGAATAATTCTTCCAATGTACAGTCAAATTAAAAAAAAAACAAAAAACAGAATTGAGAGCCCCGAAATAAACCTTAATACTGATAGTCAACTAATTCTGCCAAGATAATTCAACTAGGAAAGAAGAGTCTTTTTAACAAATGTTGGTAGAACTGGATATTCAAATGCAAAACAATTAAGTTGGACCCTTTCCCTATGCCACAAACAAAAATTAACTCATTAAGGATGGCCAGGTGCAGTGGCTTATGCCAGTAATCCCAGCACTTTGGGAGGCCAAGGCCGGAGGATTACTTGAGCCCAGAAGTTGGAGGCCAGCCTGGGTAACACAGTGAGATCCCCTGTCTACAAAATATCAAAAAGTTAGCCAAGCAATAGCACGCACCTGTTGTCCCAGCTACATGGGAGGCCAAGGCAGGAGGATCACTTCAGCCTGAGAGGTTAGGGCTGCAGTGAGCCATGCCTGTGCCACCACACTCCAGCCTGAGAAACAGAGCAAAAGTCTATTTAAAAAAATAAATAAAGTAACTCAGAATGGATCAAGGGCCTAAATATAAGAACTATGAAATTCTTAGAAGAAAATAGGGCCAACACAGTAACTCAAGCCTATAATCTCAGCACTTTGGGAGGCCAAGGAGAGAGGATCGCTTGAGTCCAGGAATTCTAGACAAGCCTGGACAACATGGTGAAACCCCGTCTCTACAAAAAATACAAAAATTAGCCAAGCATGGTGGCACGCATCTGCAGTCTCAGCTACTCCAGGGGCTGAGGTGGGAGGATAGCTTGTGCCTAGGAGGTTGAGGCTGCAGTGACCCATGATCGCACCACTGAACCCCAGCCTGGGTGACAGAGAGAGATCTTGTCTCAAAAAAAGAAAGAAAGAAAGAAAATAGGACTCCATCTTCATAACCTTTGGTTAAACAAAGTTTTCTTAGATATAAGAACAAAAGCACAAGCAACAAAATACAGAGTTCATCAAATTTTAAAATTTTGTGCTATAAATGATACCATGAAGAAAGTGAAAAGACAAAGTCATAGAATGAGAGAAAACATTTGCAAATAATTTATCTTATAAGGGACTGGAGTCTAGAACACATGAAGAGC